TCCCCTTGGGTCTGCTGCTCTGTGAGGCACGCGTCAACCGCTTCCCGCGGATCTGAGACGCCATGTAACGCAACGACACTGTACATATTGAGGGGCGCAGGAACTACCAGCCCACAGGTGGCTCCTACAGGCTCTGACCCCGAATCGGAAGACACTCTCAGCTTCCCCACCCACTGAGCTCGGACTTCCAACGGCGGAGAAACGACCGACTCGAGCTGTGGGGGCGGGGACAGAGTTGAATTTGGATGCAAGCCTCTCCAAGACCTGCTCTTTTGTGTGGCCAGCACTGGATGCCGGTTTCCCTTGCAGATGCCGGCGAACCCTGAACCAAGTCTGATTTTTTTCTGCACGCTGGCGCCGCAACCAGTGCAGAACAGAACAAGAGGCTCACCGTCGGAGCCGTGCACCGCGGCCTGAATGATCTCATGCTCCCGAAACAGCCGCGGCCTCAGCATGCTGCAATCGCTTCCGACTGCAGCGCTCGATGCCGCCGCGGGAGGTACAGCCGTTCTGGCCGTGCCGGGATACAGCTCAGGCGGGAGGGTAATGCGAGGTTGGAGCCGCGACCGCTGCTCGCAATGCCTCGCCCACTCGCTGGCCTCGTCAGGCCCGAAGCTCGAAGCATCGAAATCGAAATCAAGGACGACATCGGCCTTCCGCCGACGCCGTCAGTGTCCTGGAGGCCTGCCTGGTGACGTCATCCATGGAGCTTCCCCATCCACACAGCAGCGTCCTCCGCACTACGCTCGTAAGCCTCCACAAAGACGTCCTGCTCCGGGGGCATATCCCAAAACTGAACCCCTTTTTTCGTCCACTCTTCCGCGATGCGATTACCGCGAAACTTCCAAAAATCTTCCAAAGACGTGGCATCCTGGAGGCTCCAATGTGCCTTGACCTTCGCTACAAATGCGGAAGAACCTGACTTGTCCCACCAAAACTTCCGATGGTGGAGCTTTGGCCGAATCCATGGCACAGCTCACGGAGCAGGCACAATCGCTGAACACTTCGAGCGGCACCCCGAAATTACCTTCAGACGGAGGCTCCGAAAAACGAGCAAGCATGTGCAACGCGTAAGGACGAGAAAGAGGAGGAGGAAGAGGAGGATGATGAGGAGGAGGAGGAGGAGGAAGGAAGGAGGAGGAGACGTAGCCTGAAGCGCGCCGATCCATCCGAAAGGAGGCCGGCGCATTCGCTTGGAGAGAGGCGGAACCTCTCTTCGATCGAGCAGTGGACCGCGAGAAAAAAAAGAGGTCCGACTGAATGGCCGCGCCGCAGCCAGCAGAGCGAGCAGTACAGTCTGGGAGGGAACAGAAGCCAAGGGGGGCAAGGACGCCGCCCTCGGTGAGGCCATTCAAAGTGGCGACAGCTCGGCCCCATTCGATGGTCGAGCCCTCCTCCTCCATCCTCTTCCCTTATAAGCAGATCCTAGTCGGGCGTTTCGCCTGAGACTTCCTTTTCATGTATGATCCCAACAACTGAAAATGTGCAACGGTTTCACGGATGGAGGGCGGGTGATTGCTCAACATGTGGCTCTCGCCTTCGCGCCGCGCACATTCGTTTACAGAATTTGCAGACATTTCAAGGATTCTGATGGCTGACGTCCCAGATTTGGTACTGTGGCACGATGTGAGACTGACAGGGCGCAACAATTGCGCTGATTCGGGGTGTTGAAATCCAAGGAATGGTGTCTGGAACGGTTCAGGACTGTCAGGGCGCAGCAGTGACGTTGATTCGCGGCGTTGAGCTGCCAAGAAAGGTGTTCTAGCACAATTCAGGGTTTTCAAACGGTTGTCTTCCAACGGAGCACTGTCATCAACGAAAATGAGTCCTCGCAGCGACCCGTGAAGACCCTCCCTCCTCCTCCCGCTGCTCAGCTCCGTCCTCCACCCTCCTACACCTTCCGCAGCCGTCTTCCGCTGTCCACCTTTCACTTCTCCACCTCCTCCCGACGCCAAAGGTAATCGTCCTACTGTTTGGAGTCAGATCTAATGGCCCTTTCTGGTAATTAGCCACGGGCCGCTCCTTCGATCAGGTTCCCCGACCCAAATCTAAGAAATGGCACCCGACACCAGACCCCTTCCCGCCCCCCTCCCATTTCGGCGTGCGGCAAATTCGTATCGTGCCGACCCTGGCGTTGGTTCCCGACACCGCGGGAACCGCTCAACCTAGAACGATCGGCCGTTTCCGAAACATCGGATCGTTCAACATCGACCGATTCTGGGTCGCCGGTGGACACGGCGCGAATCTACTGTATTGACAATGCCGCCACCCCCCCTTCCCAGCCACCTCCGCGACACTCCGCCAGCCCCGCTTGGCCGACCCGACGGCCGCGGACGTGACGCTCGTGGGTGTCGCGCGCTTGCCCTTCAGGTCGAACACCTGCTCGGGGGGGGGTGGAATCTCCGCCCTCCTCCCCCAAGAGGAAGGGGGGAGGAACAACTTCTGTGCCGGACAAGGGGGAGATTCACCTGCCGCTGCTGCCAGCGCCGGACCCCTGCATGCACAAGCACTCGCCCCTGCCGTGGACACCGTTCCAGCAGCGAGATGGGCTCGCCCCTGCCGCAGACGAGCGCGAGGGCAGCGACCGAGCTCCGGCCGATGCGCTGCAAGGTGAGCCGCGTGGCCGCGCCCGGCCCCGCGACCGCAGCCCAGGTCCCCTGCTCCTCATCCTCCTCCTCCTCCTCTTCCTCCTCCTTCTCCTCTCCCCCCCTCCTCCCCCCCCTCCTCCCCCCCCCTCCTCCCCCTCCTCCCCCCTCATCCCCCCCTCCGCCCTCATCCGCCATCCTCCGCCCTCATCCGCCCTCCTCCTCCTCCTCCTCCTCCTCCTCCTCCTCCTCCGCCGCCCATATCCGCAGCCTCGTGACTCCCTCCCTGCCTCTTCCCCTCAGCCACGCCGCGCTTCCGAGAGTCGGCCGCGCGAGAGTGCCGCGGCGGGCGACCCCTGGGCTCCTTTGCGAGGACACGCCGGGGGCGGCGAGGAAACGCTCTGACGTCGGGACCCGCAGTGGACATCGGAGGGACGTCGAGGATCGAGGATCGAGCATCGAGGATCCATACGAGGTTCTTGGTCGTGTGGCGCACGGCGGGGCGGCAAGTCATCCAAACATGCAGGTGCAGTCTGGCTGCAGATCGAGCGTGAAACCTATCACCTTGGGCTCAGGACGCGGTCCAAAGACACTGACTTTCTCCCAGACAGGACCTGCAAGGAACTGAAGGGCTTCGGAGGAGCTGGCAGGCAGGGCTTGGCCAACTTCCTCTCCATGGCTGCTGGTCTGGGGTCAGGTCGCGTCGCAGAGAGTTGCTGGACTTCCCGCTTGTCCCGCCAGTGCTTTCCTACTCGTTCCCAATTCGCGGGCCGCAGAGGTTTTCGCAGCTCCTGCGCAGCGTTCTCCGAGCTCGTGCACAGCTCATCGGCAGCGCAACTTCGGCTCGTGGGCAGCACCTGGGCAACTCCTAAGCAGCGTTTCTGGAAGTCGTTCCCAACTCCTAAGCAGCGCTTCCCAAGCCCGCGGGCAGCCCCCAACGCACCGCTTCCTCGGCTCGCGATCAGCGCCTAAACAACTCCCAAGCAACGTTTCCTGGGCTTGTGCACATCTCCCGTGCGCCTCCTGGGCAACGCTTCCTGGGCTCGCGCGCAGCTCCCAAACAACTCACGCGTTGCCGCCCGCAAACTGATCAACGCCCGCGCGCCAATGCGCTGCTATCCGGGTTTGGGGTCACACACGTGTTGTACTGTTCCCAACCATCCTGTGGTGGTGGGTGCTCGTTTTGAAGAGAAAGCGCCCTGCGCCTCCCTCACTCACTCCTCCCCCCCACTACTCCCTCCTCCTATCCCTGCGCGTGCCCTCCGCACCAGTCAACAGTTTCTGCAGATCCTTCTCACGTTCCATGGCCCCATGAAAAGACAGGGGGGGGCCGCCGACGGGCCCCAGAGGCTGCGTTCGTATGCGCCCGCCGCGCCTGTTTCGGCACACCCCTCACACGTTCGTGGCCTCATAAGGAGCTCCACCGAGGACCCCAGTGGCTGCGTTCGCGTGAGCCCGCCGCACCCAGTTCGGCACGCTCCTCGCGCGCTTCGTGGCCCCATAAGGAGCTCCACCGAAAGCCCCAGTGGCTGCGTTAACATGCGCCCACCGCGCTCATTTCGGCACACCCTCGCACGCTTCGTGGCTCCGCCCGCCGCACTTATGTCGGCACACCCCATCACACGCTTCGTGGACCCATAATGAGCTCCACCGGAGGCTGTAGTGGCTGCGTTTGCATGCGCCCACTTCACCCATGCCGACTCACCCCTCACATGCCTCATGGCACCACAGTGACCTCTCCAGAAAGAACCGATGGTTGCGTTCGCATGCGCCTACCGCGCCATTTTCGTCACACCTTCGCACGTTTCGTGGCTCCGCCCGCCGCACTTATGTCGGCACACCCCTCACACGCTTCGTGGCCCCATGATGAGCTCCACCGAAGACTGCAGTGGCTGCATTTGCATGCGCCCACTTCACCCATGTCGACTCACCGCTCACATGCCTCATGGCCCCACCAAAAAAACCCGATGGTTGCGTTCGCATGCGCTCACCGCGCCCCGTTCGGCACACCCTCGCACGTTTCGTGGCCCCGCACGCCGCACTTATGTCGGCACATCCCTCACACGCTTCGTGGCCCCATAATGAGCTCCACCGGAGGCTGTAGTGGCTGCGTTTGCATGCGCCCGCTTCACCCATGTCGACTCACCGCTCACATGCTTCGTGGCCCCATTGTGAGCTCCACAGAAAAACCCCGATGGTTGCGTTTGCATGCGCCCACCGCGCCCTTTTCGGCACACCCCTCACAAGTTTCGTGGGCCCAAGGGGAACATCACCGAAGGCCCCAACAACTGTTGCGCCCCCCCGCACCCATGTTGGCACACCTCTCGCACGCTTCGTGGCCCCCTACGGAGTGCACCGAAGGCCCCAATGGCTGCGTTCGCATGCGGCCGCCGCGTTCAGTTCGGCACACCCCTCTCGCACTCCGTGGCCCCCCACATAAACGACAGAAAACCCCAATGGCTGCGTTCGCATGCGCCCACAGCACCCATGTCAACACACCCCTCCTACGTTTCGTGGCCCCCTCGGGAACTCCACCGAATGCTTTAGTGGCTGCGTTCGCATGCGCCCACCGCACCCAGCTCGGCACACCCCTCACATGTTTCGTGGCCCCACACGGAGCTCCACCGAAAGGCCCAGTGGCTGCCTTCGCATGCGCCCGCCGCACTTTTGTCGACGCACCTCTCGCGCGCTCCGTGGCCCCATACGGAGTGCCACCGAAGGCTCCATTGGCGGTGTTCGCATGCGTCCGCCCCATCCAACTGGGCTCACTACTCACGCGTTTCGTGGCCCCATAAGGACATATATATGTATGTATATACGTATGTATGTATGTATGTATGTATGTATGTATGTATGTATGTATGTATGTATGTATGTATGTATGTATGTATGTATGTATGTATGTATGTATGTATGTAATTATGTATGTATGTGTATATATATGTATAGAACAATACAGAGCAATACATGTAGAACAGGAAATTCGCCGGCCCAGCGGGCCAGAGGCGTGCTAAGATCTCCGGTAACTGCTTAACAATAGTTCTAGTTCGCGCGCGCGCGGGGCGGCCCCTGGGGGGCCCCGGACGAAAAGTACCCCGGCCGATCCCCGGGCGATCCCTAGGGGGGAGGCTATTTTCGCCACCCCTCACGAAGATCGTGGCCTCCGAGGGGGGGGCTGCCAACGACTACCCCCCCCTCCCGCCCCAAGGGACCCCCAAGAGCGCCCCAAGAGGCCCCAGGGGAGCCCAATACGCCGCCAAGGAGCCCCAAAACGCTCCCAAGAAGCCCCCAAGACGGCCCCAAGAGGCCCCAAATAGCGCTCCAGGGCCGGCGGAATGAGCGGAAAGATGATATATATATATATATATATACACATAGATATGTATATATACACATATATAGATATATGTACATATATTCATTTATTTATCTAGAGAGAGAGAGAGAGAGAGAGAGAGAAAGACAAAGAGAGAGAGAGAGAGCGCCGGGAAACGTTCCGCAGGGACGGCCCTATGGGAACCTGGCGGGGGCGCAGGACCGCCAGAGGGCTCGCGCGTCGTAGTTGCCGGACTGGACAAAAAGACGAATGTGTTCCAAAAGATCTTCTTCATGAGTCTTCCACCATGGTCGGCTCCGGGCCACCTCCCACCATTTGGAGTCGCCGTCGGTGGTAACCATGTCGTGTAGATAAGAAGCAATACCACCATCCCAAAATTTCTTGTGTCTGCTCTTCTGAAGCAATACCATCATCCCATAATTTCTTGTGTAGATGGAAGCAATTTCTTGTGCCTGCTATGTCGGCGAAAAGGCTGGGCGTAAGTCGTGTGCGCATGGCTCAGTCGTGGCCACCTGCCGTGATCGTGATTGGCGGCGCGCGCTGCGAACGCCCGTTCTTGCTTGAAACACGCGTCCGTCCAACGTCAACTCGTGCTCGTTTGGCGAGCGCCAGAGCGGCGGAAGTACTTCCCCGTATGAAGCGAACCCAATATTCAGATCCGTCGTCGTCGTCTCCGCCGTTTGCTGTTGTCGGTGCTGGTGTCGGTGCTGGCGCTGGTGCTTTTGTTGGTACTTGTGCTGTTGTCGATGCTGGTGCTGTTGTCGGTGCTGTTGCTGTTGTTGGTCGGTGCTGGTTCTGGTGCTGTGGTCGGTGCTGGTGCTGGTGCTGTTGTCGGTGCTGGTGATGGTGCTGGTGTCATCGTCGTCCCTGCCGTTGTCGGTGCTGGGGTCGGTGCCGTTGTTGTCAGCGCTACTACCGTTGTTGTTGTTGGTGGTGCGGTTGTTCTTGTTGATGTTGTTGCTGCGGGCGTGTGCTGCCTGTCTTACTTGTTATTGCATATTCCGTCTTCTCGGCGAACTTATGATGACTGAGAGCATTTCCCGTTGCAAGGTAGCGTGACGAACGTATCCTTGGTGAATGTCCGCGAAGAGCAACCGTTCATAACGCATGGAATGGTCGTGCTCCTGAAGAGCCGCAGCCTGCTGTGCAGGGGCAACTTTCTGTTGGAAAGTTCGCCCCGTAGTTGGTGAAACTTCGACCATCCCGTGGCGATATCCTGTTTTTGAGCTCGTGGTCGCAAACGTCGTGGAACGACAAACTTCAGCACAAGTATTTCGTACTCTGGTCGTTGGGTAGACGGTCTGCACGCGCACCATCCAAGATGATGTGCGCGATTGCCCTGCCAACCATCCGGATGACGTTGGTGAGAATGTTTGCTTGGTCGGGGTGCAATGAGTCCACAACATGATGCTTTGCTTTTCAAGTCGCGTCGCAAGCATGTAGGATGGCGAAGGTTCGGGGCGTGCAGAAGGACGTCGTCTGCGAACCGTAGCTTGATGCTGCTTTTTTGAGAGCAGCCGAATTTGATGCCGAACTTTTTCCGTTGCCGACTGGGCTTGATTTGTCGGAAGATGTGGT